AAACCGCTTAGAGAGGGCTGAAAGCCCTATGAAGCGGTATATAAGTCTAACTGCTATTGCTATTCTATTTCTGTCTTTCATCTCTTATCCCTTGTAATATTTCAATTCTTGTAGGGGGTTTTTTTTGGCATGTTTTCCATAATGCTCCCTTGGGGTTTTGTATTAATTACATTAGTTATACTCACATCATTATCGCAACATTATATATCAGTGATGGCAAACCTTTTCAGCACCAAGTGCCGAAAAGAGAGCACTTCACGCATCCTTGCACAGTACATGCCCTTGTCTGGGCCGCGACCAAGAAGAGGAGGTATCCAGGGGGCATGCTCATGCCGGGAAATGTACTTCCGGTTTCCGGCAAGTCTTCCGGTTACTGCTGTACATGCATGTTCACGCTGGAAAACAGAAGACCAGCTCTTCCGGTTTCTGCCGCATACGCAAAGGCCAGTGGATCATCTTGTGTGCATGCGCAGCAGAAACCCGGAAGAGGAACGGGCAATGCCGCGCATGCCAGGCAACGTGGCTCCGTGTGCCACTTGGGGCACATGTGCCATAGGTTCTCCATCACGGTTATATGCATTGCAATCGAAGTTGTTAAATTCCATGCATGCTTTCAGAATCCTGCAGGCTTAGGCGGGGTGCACCTCATTGGGGAATGTGATTGATGACACAGACTGAGGGGAGGGGAGAAACGGGGGTAAAGTTCAGCTATAATTCAAACAAAGCTCAGATCTGACTGCGAAAAGGCCTTGCCTAATGGTGCCCCTAATAAATGACTAGCTTTGTATTGAAACTTGGCTCGATACTCATGAATCAATTAGGGCCTTTTTAGGAAACCTGACACCATGTATATATATTCCCCTCATTATTTAATTATTCAATATTTTATTATTCAATGCTAATAGCCATGGTAACCTTAATAGCGTTATTTAAAGTTATATAATACAATCATGAGAAATAGTTTCTTAAGGATTCAAGAGCAGTGCCTGATCTGTTTTCTTGGGTCCTCAGAAATTTGAAAGAGGGAGACCAAATCACAGCGCATTTGTGTTATGACGTGTTGTGTGTGTGTGTGTGTGTGTGTGTGTTTTCCACCTCACAGGAGACCCAGAGATGTTTCAATTCACAATGGTTCTAGCTCAGGCTTTAAGTCAGTACCTGGTGTTGCTTTCCAAACTGCCAACGTCTCTTCGCATTCCTCCGGAGAAGGAAAATGACATTGCGAAGTTCGTTGTGATGCTGCTTGAGGTAAGGGCGATCACGATATTGGAAGAGGGTGGGGGGTGGGGAAATGTAAGAGAAAAAATTTGATGGCGCTGCCTTTTAAAAAGCGGAAATCTGTAGAGAATCATGCAGTCTCACGGGTTATTATTGTGACACAATTCTGCTGTGACGGTATTATCTGGAAAATATTTGAAACTAGTTGATAACTCGTCGTTGCCACGGTATTTATTCATAGGGGGGAAATGTCCGGACCAAACGTAATTTCTAATGTTAGATTTTCCCCCTTATCAGAGGGAGGCCCCTGGTGGAGTACTGGGAAAATCGTTACCATGGCAACTCCATTGCTCAGTACAGTAGAAGCCATTTTAAGGCACAACAGGCTGTATTTTAACGGAACACACACCCAGAGGGGTGTTAGGGGTGTCTTACCCCACACAGTATTTGTTTCCAGAGAGTAAGTCATCTGTGAACCAGGTTTGGTTGAAATTGCTTGAGGCGTTCCAGAGTTATGCTGGAACATACATACATTCACCCCAATGAGCGGGTGATCTGGGAGAATGAACAAAGGGAGGAGAAGAAATGATGGAGAGCAGACACAGATTACTGTTCCTTGCCATCAATTCATTGCGAAGTACTGTTCATCTTTCTGAGTGTTTCTGCTGAATGTTTATTTGATTAAGGCACCTAATTGTGAACAACTCTTTTTTATTTAATAAAAACAGCATATGCAATTATGCGATTTGAAATTGCAAAGCTTGTTGGAAATGTAAGCCCCTTAAAGCTTTTTCCTGATCAGAGGAGGCTGGTGCCTTTAAATAATTTATTGAAATAAACTTCAAATAATGAAAGTCCTCCGGGATTGGGTGGCCTATAAATCGATTTAATTAATTAATACATACATACATACATACATACATAATTGAGGTCTCGATAAGACCACACTCGGAATATGGCATCCCGTTTTGGTCACCGTGATATAAAAAAAGATGTTGAGGCAACTGGAAAAAGAACAGAGCAATAAAGATGATTAGAGAACTGGAGGCTAAAACATATGAATTGTTTATGTCTAATGAAAAGAAGTAAGGGAGACATGATAGCCAAGTCTTCCAATATCTCAGGGGCTGCCCCAAAGAAGAGCAAGGTCAACCTGTTCTCCAAAGCACCTGAGGGCAGGACAAGAAGCAATGGGTGGAAACTAATCAAGGAGAGAAGCAACCTAGAACTAAGGAGGAATTTCTTGACAGTGAGGACAATTAATCAGTGGAACATCTTGTCTCCAGAAGTCGTGAATGTTCCAACACTGGAAGTTCTTAAGAAGATGTTGGACAACCACTTGTCTGAAGTGGTGTAGAGTTTCCTGCCTAAGCGGGGGGGGTTGGACTAGAAGACCTCCAAGGTCCCTTCCAACTCTCTGCTCACTACTCTGTCGATTTCTTTTTGTCCTACCAGATCCTGTCTTGGCATTTAGCACGCAAGCAGGTCCCCCTGAGCATGGATTTCCAGGCCGTGCTGGATTGCTGTTGTCTGGCATTGCAACAGACGGAGCTGTGGAACCTCTGGGCGTCAGCCGAGAACACCAGCCAGGCCTCCTCGCTCATCCATTGCACCCGGTTCATCCTGGAAGCAGGTGAGGCCCCCCTCCCCCTCCCGGTTTCCACCTCCCTTCCCTTCTAGAGGAAGCTGCAAAGGAAGTGACATCAGAAACAATTTCTGCTCTAGGATGCCGCACTTGGTCTCCTTAACGGGCCAGGCGTTCCAGAGTTATGCTGGAACACACACACATACATACAGCCTTTTTAATATATTACATTATTATATTATATCATATCATAATCATATTTATGCTTTCAAGTCAGTCTTGATTCCAGGGAACCACCGAGGCAATTTCTTGCAGGCTTGGGGGAAAATATTCCCACAAGTGGCTTGCCCTGGGTAGTTCCTTCCTAGGCTTGAGGGCGAGGGATTTCCCCAAATGAAGCAGCTGCTTTTGTGCCTAGAGCAGGTCTAGAAGCATTTCTTCTCGGCCTCCAGTCCAGTGTCTTTAACCACTGTGCCAGGCTGCTCTCCCTGTCAAACAAAATGAATGCAAATGGAGTGAGGGAAGTTCTTAAAAAAAGAAAAAAATCCACTCACTCACTCCAGGCAAAAAAAAAACCCCACCCCAAAACTTTAAGAGTCGGAGCGAGTCTGTATTCTGAAGTTTCTTCGGAAACTTTTTCTGACGTTCGTGTGTACCACCGGAGATCTTTGAAGGATCCATTTTGTGAAACGCGTGTTGCTTCCGTCTGGTTTAGTGGCCATTGAACCGGGAAATCGCCTCCTGAGTCCAGAGAAAAGGAAGAAGATTCAGAAGGCCGGCAGTGAGAACGAAAAGGCTTCACAAACACCAAGTAAGGATAAAACCGACGCGGTGTACGCATGAAGTTGTGTTTTGATATACGTCTTAGGTGAACATACAGGTTATATGCCATGATCCTACCTAGAGTTGTATTGGATATAAGGGGGGGGGGGGCTGCAGCTGCATTGCAACTACTAAAGAATTAGATGTGAATTTCACTTTAGGTTTACGTATAGGAAATTTCTCTGAAGGCTTCCGGGTGAGATTTACTAGGATCCGGCTGTAAGAGAAAGGTCGAGAAATGACTTTTCCAGCCTCAGTTTCCCTTTGGTGGCTGTTCTTGGGAAACTGGAAAGCATAAACACATCAAAGATGTATTAATGCATTCAATATCAAACTGGATGGATGGATGGATGGATGGATGGATGGATAGATAGATAGGATACTGGATGGATGGATGGATGGATGGATGGATGGA